CCCTCTCCACCTCGCGGCGACGGCGGCCCCTTCCTTCCAGGCTCTGCAGCTGCTGCGGGACCAAGGCAAGCGGCTGCGGTTTGTGACGAACAACTCCTCGAAATCGCGGGCGCAGTACGTCTCAAAATTCAGGGGCCTGGGCATCGAGGCGGACGCGAGCGAGGTGCGGGCAACTCTGCACGAGGCAGCAGCAGGCGGGCTCGGCACGGCCGCCGGGCGACTGCGGGCCGGTCAGCCAGGCTGGGCTGCTCGCATGCTGGCGGCGGCGGTCTGTCTGTCTCTTGCTGATAACAGACCCGGGTCACTCCCCCAAAGGCATGCCGCGCGTGCGAGCCGTATGTGGCAATCGCAGGCAGCTGCGACGTGCGGTTCGGCGCTCCTGCTTAGCAGCAGCGGGCGCGCTCCCCCGGGGCGCGCTCGCTCGGGGCGAGATCATCCCCCCCCCTTCTCCGCATGCACACAGGTCATGTCCTCGTCCTATGGCGCGGCCGCCTACCTCCAAAGCATTGGCTTCGGAATATCCCTTCAGCCGGGCAAGAAGGTGCTGCTGCTGGGCCCCGAGGGGGTGGAACATGAGCTGGCGCTGGCAGGGGTGCCGTTTGTGGCGGCGCGGGGGCTGGGGCTGCCGATATATGACTCGCCGGACGCCATGCTGCGGATGGAGGTGCGGGGTTGTTTGCGTGTGTGTGCGCACACAGTGTGTGTGTGTGTGTGTGTGTGTGTGTGTGTGTGTGTGTGTGTGTGTGTGTGTGTGTGTGTGTGTGTGTGTGTCACAAGAGAGTGTGTGTGCGCACAGACATGCACACGAATCATACGAGGAGGCCATGTGGGGTGCGAGAAGCGCATGGCTGGTTTGCTGCTCTTGATACCCATGGGTACTGCGGGCAATACGCCAGCGGCGCAGAGGCGAGTCGCGCCTCACCCCGCGACAACCACGCCACGCCGTCCCGCCTGGCCCGGCCCACCCGCGCGCCCGCACCTGCGCTACTGCACCCCTGCTCTTCAGGTCGATACAGGCATAGGGGCAGTGGTGGTGGGGTGGGACCCGACATTCAGCTACTCGGCGGTGGTTTACGCCTCGGCCTGGTGTGGCCGTCGGGGCACCCCTGGGCTGCGCATCCTTGCGAAAGCACGCGCAGACTCTCGGCCATTGAGGCGCTGCCGCACTGCGGGGCCCCCGTTCTGGGCGCAACAGCTTGCGTGTGCCGTCGCTGGCCTCCCCCCCGCCCCGTTTCAGTCAGCGCCGTGCCTTGCCCCCTCTCCCCAGCCTGCGGGAGCTACCCGGCTGCTTTCTGGTGGCGACCAACACTGATGGTGCGCGCAAGTGACCCTTAGTCGCGTCTCCTTGCCCCTTACAAGCCGGCTGAGCAGCCCGTACCTGCATACGTGCATACCTGCGCCAGCTTGCGGCGGCAGTGATCTCACATACGCGCGGTTCTCTGCATCCACCGGCCCTTGGGTGGGGCTACGGCCTTTTGTGACGCATAGCACCCCTCTGTCTTCCTGCCAGTACCATTTCTTTGCTCCCAAGGCCCCATTGACGGCATCCCACCTGCTACCCCCTGCTGCGCCCCACACGCTCTTTCAAACCGCCAGACTTTGACTACATCGGGGGCGGCCGCACCATGCCAGGCACGGGCTGCATCGTGGCTGCCGTGGAGACAGCTTCGGGCTCCAAGGCGGTGAGCTGCCGCGCTGGGTAGGCCCTCGTGCCAACCCTTGCCAGGGGTGGAGGCGTTGCCGTGAAGCGGGGACGGCGCCGCCGGCGCTGGGGGTGCCTGCTCGGGCGGACCAGAGGCACACAGCAGCGGCGGCGCGCGGCGACGCAGCGGCGCCGCGCCGCGCCGCGGCCTGCGGCGCGTTGCGCGCGGGGCTCATGAAACGCATGCGCGCGCCCCGCCCTGCTCTCAGGTCAACGTAGGCAAGGGCGGCCCCTGGCTGTTCCCTTTCCTGTGCAGCAGCCTCGGCCTGGACCCGGCGCGCACAGCGGTTGTGGGGGACCGGCTTGATACGGACATTGCGCTGGCCAGGGAGGGCGGGATGCTGGCCATACTGCCGCTCACGGGTGCGCAAGAATATGGGCGTGCGCGTTCGTATCCGCGGGGGCCCAGCGGCGCTGGGGGCGGGGGAGCGCGAGGATGGCGAGCGGCCCCCGCGACTGGGATTTACTTTGGTTCGGCTCGTGGGCGGGCACTGCTGCCACGCGGCCTTCAAGCTGCCTCGCCACATCCCGTTTTACCTGACCAAAGGAGCCGTTTGATCACCTCTGCCGCACAACATTCGTGCAACCACCGCAGGCGTCGCCACATTGGATGATGCGCTCGCGGCGCCACCCTGCAAGGCGCCTGACGCCGTTGTGAGCAGCGTGGCGGCGCTGGCTGGGTTGTGATCGCGCTTCGCGGATCGGGGCCGGGGCGGCCTATGCGGCCGGCGGGTGCCAGTTTGGGCCGCGAGGCGTGCGGGGTGGCATGCAACAGGCAGGTGCTCAGATGTGTCACCTCTGGAGGGCCCATGTGTTCAGTGACGGGCAACGGGAATCAACCAGACATTATGTAAATGACATGTTTGGGTGTCTGCGCGTGCATGAAGGGAGGGCCTGCATTGCTGACGGTCGCTCATGACACAGCGGCGACATGACAGACAGAAATTGGGGAGGAGGTTGCACGCATGGCGCGCGCGGTCAAAGGTTGCTGGCGCGCCGCGCGGCAGCTTTCCGCCCCCCTGGACCAATCGTCTTTTGCAATTGCGGCTCTCTGCAGCGCTGGGGCCATGCTGGCATGGTTGATTGCGGCGAGTGGGTGGCGGACCAGCGGGTGACTGCCGTTACCAGGACCTGCCCTTGGCGGCTGCCTGGTGCTGTGGATTGGGTGCCGACACAAGCGCGCGCGGCGACAGGTACGGTCATACTACCATCTTACTTATCTGAGATACGCAGTACAGCAGACACGTAAGACGGGAACAACGACGACAGAGTGCGCCACTGTTGTGATGAGAGCCACCGCGGCCTAAAGCAGGAACGGGGGTTCGAAGTACAAGTACGAAGAATGCAGGACATGCAGCAGCTCAGCCAGGAGATGGCTAGTCTCGGTCTTGCTGGGGGAGGTGAGCCTGGCTTGCCTAAGAGCGGCAAGGGACGGCGGGGGCCGTGTCACAGGCCCATCATATGAGCGTGTGGCTCATTCAAGTACACTCTAATTGTATGATCATGTGATCGCCGGCCCCGTGATGGGCTGGTAGTCTATTTGTCGCCCGGGAAGGGTCCGAGCGAGCTTGTGAATGGGCTCAGGCTGACGACCTTGGAGCTAGCTGCCACATCGAGAGCGTCTTGCCCTCGTGTAGGGTGACTTCCATCATATACACGTCCAACCTGCTGCGCTCCTGGCTGACATGCGCCTATGTGCCGCTGCTCCCGCTGCTCGTGCTGCGCGCGTACACGTCGCCCATGACGCCGCGCCCGCGCGCAGAGCAGCGGCCGGGCAGCCACTCGTCGCTGCCGTCGCACAGCAATCTATATGTGAACAACTTGCCCTACAACATCTCCGAGCAGCAGGTGCGCGCGGCGCGGCGGCGCCCACGCCCGCGAGGCCCGCCTGGCACCTGCGTTGGGGCTTTCCGCCACTCGCGCCGCTGCACCCGGCCTGTGCCGCCCGCGCGCGCCCTTCCCCGGACTCCCCCGCCGTTGGATGCGACTCTACGCGCGTGCGTGCCGCCACGCCGCCGCAGGTGGACGAGCTGTTTGCGCCCTATGGAGAAGTGATTTCGCTGCGGCTGGTGCGCGCGTCGCGCATGGGCCCCTCCACCAAGACCTTTGCATTTGTCAAGTATGCAAACGTGCAGGTGAAGGGGGAGAGCGCCGCCACGCGTGCGGGGCCGCTCGCCCGAGGGTTCGAAGGGCCGGCCGGGCGGACGATCCGGTGGCTGTCTGGCAGGCCGGCGGCGCGACGCGCGCGTGCGCGGCCACACAGCCGCGGGGCGGGCGGGCAGGTCCGAGCCGGCGGCGACAGGCAGAGCCCCGGAAACGGCGACGCCCGCGGCCGTCGCACGCGGGGGCGCGCCTGTATCTTCCCGCACCCTCGCGTTCAAACGCCCGGACCGACAGCTGGCCCGACGCGCTGTCCGCTCGACCCGCCGGCCCCGAAACCCCTCCCGCCCCTCGTGCCCGCAGCAAGCCGTGGCGGCCATACAGGGGTTGAACCACTCGCCCTGCGCCGGCGGCGCGGCGGGCGCCGCTGGGCTGCTGGAGGTCAAGGTGTGGCCCCAAGCCCGCCCGCGCGCGCTCCGCTTGCTCCCTTACTCACTCGTCCCCTCACTTGACACATACTTGCACATGCACGCACGCACGCACACGCACGCACGGGCGCGCGCGCGCACGCACCCACCCACACACAAACACACACACTTTCGCACAGTCATATGCTCGGATTAAACAAGCAAAACTTCCTCCCCGCTTTGCGGCCTGCAAACTCTGCAAGCCCCTTGGCTCTCGCGCGACGTCTTGCGCGCCGCGCCGCGCGGCGCCGCGCCGCGCCCGCCCTCATCCCTTACAGTTTGCCGACGCCGACGCGGGCGATCGCAACCCTGAGCTAAGCGCCCCGCCCAGCGACAACCTGTACTGCAAGAACCTGCCGGGCAGCTACACGGACGACGACCTGAGGGCGCTGTTCGCGCCGCACGGCAACGTGATCGAGTGCAAGCTGCTGCACAGGGGCGACATCGCGCAGGGTGCCGGCGCGCTGGTTCGGCTGGGCAGCCTGTCTGAGGCGCAGCGCGCGATCGCGGGGCTGCACAATCAGCGACTCCCCGGCGCCGCGGCGCCGCTGGTCGTTCGCTACGCTGACAGCGCGGAGCAAAAGGCGAAAAAGGCGGCGCGGATGGGGCGCGCGTACGACCGCTGGGCGTGGGCCGGCCGCGGCGGCGGGCCCGGCGGGCC